GGACACCCAGGTGGCAGGCCCTCCAACCACACCCAGGACCTGAGTCCCCATCACCCCTCCCCCATCTCCAGTGCACTGGGGGACCAAAACATGGTGTTTCCCTGTCCAATTGGGTCCACAGGTATCCGGATGCTAGACCAGCCATTCATGACAGACATCATTGAGGCCTCTTCCATCAGCCACATGCCTCAGCTGATCGACATCTACAGTGCCAGCTGGGGCCCGACAGACAACGGGAAGACAGTGGATGGACCCCGGGAGCTCACGCTTCAGGCCATGGCCGATGGCGTCAACAAGGTAAGATCATTCCTGCGCCCACCAGGCCTAGGTCCTCTGGAGGGAGGGGTGGAGGGTGGGGTGTCCAGTGGAGGTGATGAGAATGAAGCAAGGAGCAGGGAATGGGGCAGAGGTGGGGCTGTTACCCTGTGCATTAGCTCAGGGCATCCAAGAAATGAACCCCCAAACAGGGTTAGCAGTGCAGATTTATCAGAGGGGACTCCTTTAAAGGGCAAAGGGGAGGGGGAGTAAGGTGGCAGATGGTGATGTTAGTCTGACCCCTGTGAAGACCGGGGAGGAAGGACGGCCACCCTGGGGGTCTGTGTTGGCACCCCCACCTTGCCACACAACAGCTGGGAGCAGCCCCCAGGCAGTGGAGTCTGGGTGCAAACGGGGTGGTGGATCCACAATATTCCAATGGCAGGGCTGTGAGCCACAGGATTTCCAGGTTGCCCATCCCTGGGATTAGCCCAGGAATGGACAAACTCAAGGAAAAGAGACCAAGGCAGAGCCCCCAAAGGGAGGGCAGCCAGGTCAGCGACCAATGGAGGGGAAGTTGGTACCCTACATGCATCTCAGAGTAGGGGTCACATCGGACAAGACCTGAGCCAGGCCTTGGGATCAGTCTTCTGGGTTCAGGTCCCATTTCCATCAGTCAGCGTCTGGGTGTATCTGCAAATGACTTGACCTCGCTCGCTGCACCTCTGTTCTCTTGCCTGTAAAATTGTGATAATCCTACATTTCTCCTGGGATCATTGTAAGGTGTAAATGAGATAAATATACCAGTGTTTGGTAGTGAGAAGTGCCCCGGGAAGGGTTGGTGTTGATCCAGGCCATTGTGGATGCTTAACCTGTCCCCCCAAAACTTTGTGGAGTAAAGCACAGGGTTTTTTTGTTTTTTGTTTTTTTTTTCACTAAGCTTGTGAATTTTATGTGTCAAGAACTCAGGGCACATTGGGGATGGCCTGTCCCAGCTCTAAGAGTCCTGGGCCTCGGATAGAAGTCTCCAGATTTGAATTGCCAAACTGTTGAGTCTTCTAGTGCCCTTGTGATGTGCCAAATTATCGCCATTTGTGCCACAACACCAACCACTCAAGAGTACTTAATCATTTTGTTGTATTTAGAGTTTTCTTCAGGACTGGACTTACCGTCAGGTGATAGTGATACTCTCTTGATGCTTTTAGTTTGCCTGTCTAACCAGCCATGGGCAGGAGTCGCATTTTCCCAAGATTACAACAATGGTGGGGTGCCTGGGTGGCTCAATCAGTTAAGCATCCGACTTCAGCACAGGTCATGATCTCACAGTTCGTGGGTTCAGGGCCCGCATCGGGCTCTGTGCTGACAGCTCAGAGCCTGGAACCTGCTTCGGATTCCATATTTCCCTCTCTCTCTCTGCTCCTCTCCTGCTCAAACTCTGTCTCTATCTCTCAAAAATACAATAAACATTAAAAAACATTTTTTTTTTTAAGATTACAACAATGGTGGTACAGTAAGAGTAACCAGGTCCTCACTGAGGGAAAGACAAGTGTGTGAGGTTTAGTATATGGACTTTTGCAAGTGCCTTTTAGGAATTTTTAGAAAGTCTGCTTCTTGGATTTTGGCCAATTTCAAATGGATGAAACGGATATGGCCATATTTGGATATATAAACTAGCACTGCTACAAATTAATTGCAAAATGCATCCGTTTTATGTTTATCTTTGTTATTTATGGTCTATGTGAAATATACATGAACCTATTATTTACACATTTATATCACTAAAATAGGTATGGGTATGAAACACCTGAAATTTAACAGTAGCTTAGACAGGTAAAAATATTGAAGAAAATTAGAGTGGACAACTAAGTAGCATAATGCCCTCAAGGTCTATCCAAGTTGGCACAAATGGCAGGATTTCCTTCTTTTTATTGCTGAATAATATTCTGGTGTGGGGGGGGTGGTATATATGTATGTGTATATACAGTATTCTCTTTATGCATTCGTGCATTGATGGACACTTAGGTTGTGTCCATTTCTTGGCTAGTGTGAATAACGCTGACGTGAAATAGTGGTGCAGGTATCTAAAGATAGTAATTTCAGGGCCACCCGGGTGGCTCAGTCGTTTAAGCATCTGACTCTTGAGCTCAGCTCAGGGCTTGAGCTTAAGATCATGAGTTCAAGCCCCACTTTGGGCTCCACACTGGGCATGGAGTCTACTTAAATAAATTTTTTAAAAAATAGTACTATCATTTCCTTCAGATTATCCCAGAAGTGGGGCTGCTGAATCATATGGTAGTTCTGTTTTTAATGTTTTGAGGAACCTCCATACTGTTTTTCATAGTGGCTGCACCAACTTACATTCCCACCAACAGGGCACAGGGGTTCACTTTTCTCTGCATCCTCACCAACACTTATCTTTTTGATAATCGTGAAGGCAACTTTTTCTATACGTTTCCTAAGGTCAGAGAACAGGTCTTTTCCTCTCCGGCTAGTCTCAGAAACTGGCCTAGTGCTTGAAAAGTGGATCAGCTGTTCAATAAGTAGATGTGGAATTAATACATGAATGAAATTGGATGGTTGAAAGATTAAAAGTCCTATAGAAAACGGTACCTGTGGTGAACGTCAGTGGTGCCCACTACGTCCCCTTTATCGGGTGGGGGTGGGGTGGGGAGGGGGAACCCCCCAGTTACAATGACTCACACAGCTGCCCCTTCTCTGTAGAATTGCCCTAGCTTATGGGAGGCTTTCATCCAGATGGTTATGCCCACACACACACCCAGGAGGCAGCCCACAGCCAATGATTGATTCAGGGAGAAGAGTCCAGACCACTTGGCCCCAGTAGGTACCACTCCGTGGTGTAATGTATGCTCCAGAGACCCCAGTGAATCAGGCCAAGCAAGGGTTGACTTTGCTTGAGAGCACACCGTTTTGAGGTTCCTACCTCGCCTATTTTGTTTCACTCCCTCATTGACACATTTCCCCTTAGTGCATGTTCTTAATACACCTGGTGAGCTCAAGTCCCTGCCTTGGGCTCTGCTTCTAGTGAACCCATTCTAAGACATTAGAAATGAGGTTCATTCTTTCCCTTGGCTGCCAGGAAGCTCAGAACTAAGTTTGGGCCTAACAGTGTGGGGTTTTTTTAGGCTAAGTCTTCTCCTATCCCATTTTCTCCCCTCTGTTCACCAACCATGGCCTCAAAAATCATTCCATAACTTTTGTTCTCATGTCCTTTTTCATATTTCTATGGAATCCAAATCTATGAATACTATGAAGTATAAAATTTGTTTAAGAATTGCTTAAATGAGTTCAATTTGATTTGATTAAATTAAGGTGTAAATTTTAACTTTGGGATCCTCAAATTGTTTCTTGCTTCCGCAATTCCTAGTCTTAATGGACTAAACCATCTCAACGGACAAAAATCAACAGTGTCTGGGCCCTAAATAGTAAACAGTAGGTCAAACAAAGTGCAGCCCCTTAGAGAGGGGCTCAGCTGACCTTGGCCCACAGGCCAGACCCAACGCACTAGCTGTCTTTGCAAATAAAGTTTTATTGGAACACAGCCAGGCCCCTGTGTCTTTCCATTCGTGATTTCTCTCCCGATCACGGCTGTCAAAGGCTCCACACCCAGGGAAGCACCTGGGGCACTGGATCATCAGAACCCTGGGCTCTTCTGCTGGCCTGTCCCCATCTTCATTTTCACTAGACAGCCAGCTTGCATGACAAGAGGTGTGCTTCTGCTGCAGGGACTTTTTTAAGGACTGGGATGAGCAAGTTAGAGAGCTGAGCTTGAGAGCTGGGAGGCCAGAATTCTCATCTCAATCCTAACCCTTTCTGGCCATAGGATTTCAGATTAGTCCTTAGCTTCTTTGTGCCTCGTTTTCTTCTTTGCTAAAATAATCCACATCAGTGGTGCTCAAAGTGTGACCACTGGCCCACCTGCAAGTTCGTGAGAAATGCAGAGGCTCCACCCCACCCACCCACCTGATACATCAGAATTTGCATTTTAGAGGCACCTGGGTGGCTCCATCCGTTAAGCGTCTGACTTCAGCTCAGGTCATCATCTCACTATTCATGAGGTCAAGCCCTGCATCAGGCTCTGGGCTGACAGCTCAGAGCCCGGAGCCTGCTTCAGATTCTGTGTCTCCTTCTCTCTCTGCCCCTCCCCCCGCTCATGCTCTGTCTCTGTCTCTTTCTCAAAAAAAAATAAACATTAAAAAAAATTTTTTAGGGGTGCCTGGGTGGCTCAGTCGGTTAAGCAGCCGACTTCGGCTCAGGTCATGATCTCACGGTCCGTGAGTTCGAGCCCCGCGTCAGGCTCTGTGCTGATAGCTCAGAGCCTGGAGCCTGCTTCTGTTTCTGTGTCTCCCTCTCTGCCCCTCCCCCATTTGTGCTCTGTCTCTCTCTGCCTTTCAAAAATGAATAAATGTTAAAAAAAAAATTTTTTTTTAATTTCTTTAAAGAGTATTTGCATTTTAACAAGGTCACACTCAAGTTTGAGAGGTACTGCTCTAACTGACTTCTAGAAAATATATCCGACCACAAGATACTGTGGTTTTAAAAAATCCCCAGTGCTGGAGTGCCTGGGTGGCTCAGTCAGTTAAGCTTCTGACTCTGGGTTTCAGCTCAGGTCATGATCTCACGGTTCATGGATTTGAGCCCCACATCAGGCTCCACAGCTGGCAGCATGGATCCTGCTTGGGATTCTCTCTCTCCCTCTCCCCCACCCCTCTCTCTCTCTCCACCCCACCCCCACTCATGCTGTCTCTGTCTCTCTCAAAATAAATAAAACTTAAAAAAACATCCCCAGTGACTAGGAAAAGGCGGCAGAGGTGACTCATTTTCTGACACACTGCACAACCCTATCCAGGCGGTATGTTGAAGGGATTGATTACCAAGCCAGATGCTCTGGTTTGTCTCTGAGCTGCAGGAGCAGGGGCCCAGTGGCTCAACTTCAGGGGTTTCTTATAAGGATGCACGAGGACAGACAAGGGCACTGAGAGGGGATTCAGGCAGAACCTTGTACAGGCTGAGACCAGACAGAC